ACCGGATGCTGTCTGTGGGGCAATCAGCAGGGCGATTGGGCCCCCGCACATACCCGCTTTGGCCTGGCACTGCCCACTCACTTGCTCCACCATCCCACCGCAGTCCTGCTCTCCTCGGTGCCCATTGGAGCCGACAGCACCTCCACTGCCGCCCACTGCCAGCACCACATCACCAAGTTCCACACCACCCCCTGGTGGTCAATGCACATCATAGTGAGCGGTGGAACTCCCGGTCTCCCAGTCGAACAACCACCCAAGGGGACAATTTGCATATTAGGCTTTTGTTATATAGGATAGCTAATAAAAGGTATTGAAATAGAAGGGCAAATAATAAAAGAAGTAGACTGAACATTCAAGTTGCAAGTGTATAGATTTATATGATAAACCCCACCTATGTTTCCTATCACTGCCTATCACTTCCTATCATTTGCAAATAAATGATTCACTTAATTTTAAATATTACATAACTCAATTTTGCTGTCACAACTTTCAGATAGCCACTTCATAACACTCTTTTATCTAATAACTTCCAGTATTACATTTAATTGTTACCTCCTTTTCCAGTAAAGATTTAGCCATCTGGGAGGAACCAAGATGGCAGCATAGGTACACACTTGTACTTGCTGCCTGACATAACCACATCAAAATTACAACTAAAAGACAAAATGAATATCATCCAGAACCACAGGAAGGCTGGCTGAGTGGAAATTGTGCAACTAGAAGGAAAGAGAAAAGCGCATTAAAACCAGTAGGAGGTGCAGAGGTGCGGAAGTGCAGAGGTACGGAGGCGTGTGCGGAAACGTGCTGGCAACTGGGTACACTGTTCTCTTTTTCAATTGGGAGGGAGATACAAGCTCCCAATTGCTCTGAACTCCAGTTCCAGGTGAGACTCTGGAGACCCAGACTCATACAGGGAGAAACTGGACTGTCTGGCATCGGGCCAGAACAGGAGGACAGCTTTCTCACAGAGGTGCTTGCAGCGATCATTGATCCTGCAAGACCCTGGGAACTCTCCGAGGCAGAGCAGACTGGCAGCCATTGTGGTTTGCTCCGCCCTGATGATTCCTTGAGACCCCACACCACACAATTTACAACCCCACCCAAGCTGTGAGCAGAGGCTTTTGCATATGAATGGCCTGTTCTTTTGCAATCTAAAACCTAACAAACTGCAGCTGGGTCAAAGAGCCCCAAAGCTTCCAAAAGAAGGCCTAGACAGCAGCCTGCATTGCTTCAGAGCTGGGCCTCATCTGAGCACTTCCAAACCCCAAACAAAGAGGAGGAATCTGCAAATATCTCTGTAGCTCCGGCTGGGTAGCCTCAGGCAGTGGCTGACTTTGCTCCTCCTTGGAGATCCAAGAGCCAGTGTACCCAGTGGTCAGAGTGAGACCATACCAGAGTATAACTCTTCAGATCCATAAGAGACACACTCAAGGGGCAGACTCAGTGAGCACCAAAGCCCCACTGAAGCAAGTCCTGCTCTATAAGGGTGTCTCCAGCACAGCAATTCTCCCATTGTAGACACAGCTGGTCCTCACAGCCAATTGGCCTGGTGGTCAATTCCTCCCAGTGATACCAAAAGCAATCAAGACTTAAGTACAAGACTGTGCACAAAGCCCACAAAGGGGTGCACCAAGAGTGTCAACCTCAGGTAATTGGGGAGGCTGAGCCACTGGGCCCTATAGGACACCTAGCACACAAAGCCACTCTATCAACACAGGGAAGCAGCCAAAATGCAGAGACAAAGAAACATGTCACAAATGAAAGAAATGGAGGAAAGCAAACTACTAGATATAGAGTTCAAAACCACACTTATAAGGTTACTCAAGAATCTCCTAGAAACCTCCGAGAAATTTAGTGAGACCCTCAAGGATATGAAAAAGAACCAATCAGAAATTAAGCATACACTTACTAAAATAAAGAATAATACACAGAGATCCAACAGCAGACTAGAGGATCCCAAGAATCAAGTCAAAGATGTGAAATACGAAGAAGCAAAAAATACCCAACTGGAAAAGCAAAAGGAAAAAAGAATACAAAAATATGAAGATAGTGTAAGGAACCTCTGGGACAACTTCAAGCGTACCAACATCCGAATTATAGGGGTGCCAGAAGAAGAGAACAAGATACTGAAAACCTATTTGAAGAAATAATGACAGAAAACTTCCCCTACCTGGTGAAAGAAATAGACTTACAAGTGCAGGAAGAGCAGAGAACCCCAAACAAGAGGAATCCAAAGAGAACCACACCAAGACACATCATAATTAAAATGCCAAGGGCAAAAGACAAAGAGAATCTTAAAAGCAGCAAGAGAAAAACAGTTAGTTACCTACAAGGGAGTACCCATACGACTGTCAGCTGATTTCTCAATAGAAACTATGCAGCCAGAAGAGAGTGGCAAGAAATATTCAAAGTGAGGAATAGCAAGAACCTACAACCAAGATTACTCTACCCAGCAAAACTATCATTTAGAATTGAAGGTCAGATAAGGAACTTCACAGACAAGAAAAAGCTAAAGGAGTTCATTACCACCAAACCAGTATTATATGAAATGCTGAAGGGTATTCTTTAAGAAGAGGAAGAAGAAAAAGGTAAAGATAACAATTATGAACAACAAATTGACAACAAATACATATCTATCAACAAGAGAATCTAAAAATCAAGTGAATAAAAAAATCTGATGAACAGAATAAACTGGTGAATATAATAGAATCAGAGGCATAGAAAGGGAGTGGACTGACAATTCTCGGAGGGAAGGGGGTGTGGGAGTGAGGGAAGAGACTGGACAAAAATCGTACACAAATGGATGAGGACAGTGGCATGGTAAGGGCATGGGGTGGGGTAGGAACCGGGTGGAAGGGAGCTATTGGGGGAAAAAAGAGGAACAACTGTAATAATCCGAACAATAAAGCTTTATTAATAATTTTTAAAAAGACTTAGCCATCCAATCCCTGATCTCCCAAAAATCTAATCAAATTTATAATGGGGCTTTTAAAACTATTTCCTAAAGTATCCTACTACATGGCATCTGGTAGCCAGTCTAGATAGGTATTCTACATAGCCAGCCAGTACCATAATCAAATTTAAACTATTCCATATCCACGTAAATTCAATACTGTGTGTCTCCCAACAGCTTCAAGCAAATAGCTGATCTGGTTCAACTCGATGTTTTAACTCTGTTGCTTCATCCTCTGAGTTTCTCTGAGTTTAAGCAAAACAAACAATATATGTAACTCAAGTTTCAACACAGTATCTATATAGAAAACCAAATATAAAATACAACTAAACAAAAACCTAATTTTGCAATATATTAATACTAGGGGCCTGGTGCACAAAATTCGTGCACAGGGGATGGGTCCCTCAGCCTGACCTGCACCCTCTCCAATCTGGGAGCCCTCAGGGGAACCCTCTCCAATCTGGGAGTTTCTGTCTGTCTTTGCAATCATATGAGTGAATTGTCTAGACCCCAACCCAGTTTGGTTTGGTGCTCACAGAATAGAGGTCTTTTATTTTTCTTTGCTTCATTGGTGGAGATTTCCTAGAAGTTGCTGGATATCTTCCTTTTAATTTTTCCTCGACACTCTGACTTTACTTATGTCTCTCATCTTTGCTTTCCCTCCATCCCCCACCGCAACAGTAACTTGCTCCAGGCTCTGCTCTAGTGTCTAGGACAGGGGTGGGCAACCCCTGGCACATGTGCCAAAAATAGCACACCAGTAACTTTTGCTGGCACGTGAAACCCTCTCTTATAATCTTCCATTTACAATTCTTTTTCTTAATATCGACTTTTTTATTTTTCAGATAAATTCAGTGTAGGTGCATCTTACATAAATAAATAATTTTACATAACAAGTTATCTTAAAGACCATAGACATTGATTGACGAGAGAGGGGAAGAGCAATTTCTATGCCTCTGCCTTAACTCTCCCTGCCTTCCTAGATCCGACCAGTGTTTTGGTTTCATCCACATACGCTTGTGAATCTTTGTTCTCAGTGATGAATTTTGTTAAGTCTCGTAATAGGAGTAGCCTGACGGATGAAAGTAGTAGCTCGTGCATATCTCTGAAGGTCACGAAATATAAACCTGATGTAAAATCTGTCATCAGTGATGCAGCAGCAAAAGTCCCACTGATAATATCAAACGGAGTCATAAAGTTTTCTGTCGGACTATCAGTGTACATGTATACATTAAAACATAAATGTATTTTTCATCATCATATACTGTGTTTTTGTCGCTCGAATGAATTTTATTATTTCTTCAAGGTTCTTCACATATGTACACCTTAAGAGATATCAAGTAAGCATAACATGTTCTCAAAAACTTAGGGTTGGCACGCAGAAGAATTTTGAGTCAGAGATTTTGCTGGTTTTGGCACGCATTCACAAAAAGGCTGCCCACCCCTAGTCTAGGAGATCCCACAACACATCTGCCACCAGAACTACGATTCCCAGAATTCCTGGTGCTCCCCACACTCTTGGTTTCCACTTTTGGTCCAGGAGCTACAGAAACCAAAAGGACTGGGAACTCCAGCCACCCCCAGGCCAGGCTGACAGGACCTGACACTCCAGTGGCGTCCCCGGGACCCAAGCCACTCGGCCCCAATGCACACGCATGCTGGCCACAGGCTCAGAGGGGGCGGGGTCCCGGGGGCGTCTGCCGCATCGCCCCATCTAAGTGGCGGGTGGGTGGGCATCCCACCCCACCCCCAGCCGCTCAGCACCTGCACACATAGGCCCACCCCCGGCCGCTCGGCGCCTGCGCACATCCCTGCTGCCCACAGGCCCGCCATCTTTGTTGGGTTAGTTTGCATACTCGCTCCTGATTGGCTGTGGGCATCACGGAGGGATGGTAAATTTACATATTTGTCTATTATTAATATAGATTCCAGCTTCCTAGACTCTTTCCTTAAATTTTAATTTTAATTACCTCATGAGTTCCCATTTCTACAACAGGAGTCAAAATATTTGCAAGATGAAATTGAAAAAAGCCCAACATTCACCTACCCAACATTTGGCAATCCAACAATACCAATTTTCAAAGAGGTTCCAAATCTTCCAATGATTGGGAGTGGTTTAATTCCATCACCTCCCTTTTTGGGGGGCATCTGAAATATCAAAACAAAATATAAACAAAACTCATTACCATCCCCATCAACCAAGAATACATTTCATCACACAAAATATGTTATTGAATAATAGATTAAGAATAAAGCATACTGTATATATCAATCAAAAACTGACAGTTAAATCCACTTTATTTTTCAACAACAACAAAAAACTTTAAGTTTTATACACAAATCTAATTTTGATAGTTGTCAAAGCAGTTACTCCTGATAAGTCCTGAAAAGACTGACCTGAAAAATATCTGGCAACATAAGTTTAAAATAAATTTAACTGCATCTAGACTGTTCAGAAACACTTTGTTTCTTAACACAAGGTCAAAGGAATGAAAACATTAGGAAGCAGGAGCACAGACAAGAGAGTCAAAGAAAATCTATTCTAGAAACACCAGCAACCAAGTCGCCTACACCAAACCATCCCTCTTACTGGGAACTTGTTTCCCATTTCCCCCGAAAGCACTATTTTTCACATGGACGAACCACGCCAGCATCAAGGTCTTCCCAACAAGTCTCTCCCAACTTGGGCACTGTGGATATACGACTCATCATCAGGATGTTCACAAGCAACCTCCGGAATCTACCCTCGTATTTCTAGCCCTAAATGAATCCATCAACCCTTTTTTATTCACAAGTCGAAACTTTTATCAGTCCCTGTGCATCTGGCTCCAAGCTCCTCGGTGCAGAACGAACCTCACTTTGCTACTTACTGCCAACGGAACTCAGGAGGACGGCCAGCCAACCTCACGTTAGAGAGGCCCTGCTCAGGAAGGGACATCCCAGCCTCAGATCCCTGCCGCCAAGAGCCAGGGATCTCCCTTCTCAGGTCTTAACGCACACCTGTTCCCGGCGAGACCCCAGGCCTCCCAAGCACAGCTGCCAGCGCAGAGCCCCTGCAGTCCTCCGGCCTCCTACCGAGGGACGGCCGGCCGCCCAGCCAGAGCGGGCCCCTACCCGACATCTGCCTGCTCAGCACGGGGCCACTGGCCGTCCGAGGCGTGCCCCGGAGCGCGCAGCGTGAGGCGTGGGCCCGCTGGGGACGCGCGGCCTAGTGCGAGGGCGCCTCATTCATCCGCACACCCCACGCCGCCTGCTGCCCTCCCTCCGTCCCGGCCGCCCGGCCCTTGCCTGACGCCCGCCTCGGAGCAACGGACCAGGGCGTCGAAGACGCGGCGGGGAGCGCGCTCCTAGCCTCCCTGCGGGGCTCACCGTGCTGGGGGCAGGCGATGACACGGGGTCCCAGAGGAGCGGCAGATGGGTCCTACCGGCAGCGGGAGGCGGGGAGGAAGGAGGAGACACGCAAGCCCGGCCTCTCCGCCGAGCGGCACGCACGACGGCGGCGGCGGCGGCAGGACCGGCGGGCGGGGCTCCGGGCGGCACCTGCGCGCAAGCCGCGCACTCGGCCCCGCCCCGCGCACCCGCTCGCCCCTCTCATTGGCCCGATCGGCCGGGAGGCGGGAGTAAGGTGGGAGGAGCCGTGTGGCGCCGCACTGGGCGGGAGCATTAGCCAGCGCCGCCCGGCCCCGCCTCGGAGCTTAGGTCTTCCGCCCTCTCCGCGCCTTCGGCTTCTCTGCCCGGTTCTCGGCTTCCTTCCCGTCGAGCGCCCCGCGTTGCCATCACACGCTCGTTCGCCGCTGGCAGCTGCACACTTCACCCGACGAACCTCGGGGCACCCTCGCCCTGACCGCTCTCCCAGAGACGGGTCGCCGGGGACCTGGCGAACCGCCACGCCATCCCTGCTTCGGCCGCGTACCGAGTTCTCGGATACCACGGCCCCAGCCCGCCTCCTTTTCCTGTAACTATCTTTAGTCAGTACAGATGGTGAGAAGCTGTTAAAGTTTCTTTAAAAAAAATAAAAATAAAAGGCGGGGGGGAATGCCCGCCCGGATGGGCTCAGTTGGTTGAGCATTGTCCTTTGCACGAAAAAGTTGGATTCCGGTCAGGGCACATGCGTGAGTTCCAGGTGGGGCAGTATGGAGGGCAGCTGATCCTTGTTTCTCTCTAACATTGATGTTGCTCTCTCTCCCTTCCTTCCTCTCTCTAAGCATGTCCTCTGGTGAGGATTAAAAAAAAATAAAAAAAGGAATAAGGAAAGCTTATGATCTTATTATCTCAGGGCTCCTTCATCACCTTATCGTTCAGGCATGTTTCCCGGATGGGACCCCAAAATGAGTTTAATGGAGCCAACCCCCACACCCCACCCCCTTTCCCTTTGGATAGTTAAGACGGGGGCCTTCGGAATTTGGGACACGTCGTTTCCAGTCTGGATTCCACTACCTATTAGCTGTGTGTCCCTGGACAGAGTCACCCCTCTGGGTTGCAAAGTTTCCGCCTGGATAAAATGAGGCCGTGGAGACTCGCCCGACGAGATTATTGTGAGGACAGAATGAGACAATGTATGTAGAGCTGGTAGCTACTACATAGGGAAGGTCACAAATAGTAATAAGATCTATTGTTGATATGAGGATCTCACCCACACCTGACTACACCATGAGCTCCATCTGTAGAAGGAATTCTTTGATTTAGATCCTGACCCTTGAACAATGCAGGGGTGGGGCGCTGACCCCGTGCATTTGAAAGTCCATGTACAACTTGACTTCCCCGAAACCTAACTACTACTGGCCTACTTTTGACCAGAAACCTTACCAATAACAGTCAACTAACACGTTTTGTATGTTACATGAATTATACACTGTATTCTTACAATACAGTAAGCTAAAATTTTTTTAAGAAAATCATAAGGAAAATACATTTACAGTATTTATTGAAAAAAAATGTGTACATAAGTGAACCCGAACAATTCAAATCCATGTGGTTCAAAGGACAACTGTATTATATACTTGAAAGTTGCTAAAAGACTGCATCTCAAATGTTCTCATTAGAACAAAGAAATTGTGATTTTGTGTAAGGCAGTGGACCTGTTAGCTAACACGGTGGTGGTAATCATATTGCAGTATATAAGTTTATCAAATCAACACATTGTACACCTTAAACATGCATAATGTTATATGTTAATTATATTTCAATTAAAAAAAATAAGTGCCCAATATAGTGTTATTAAGTAACATTTTTCTGTTACCTGTGTCAGATTTTTTTCCCCTCTACACCAAGCATGTCAAACTTGAAGCCCATCTGCGGGCCACATGCAGCCCACAAACGAATACTTTTGTGGGCCAGCCAATATAACGGTATGTAAGAAACGTTTTAATAAAAAGTTCATAACTTAATTTTTACAATATCCTGTTATACATAATTATTAATAATGAACTACAATGTTCACTAATGACTGATTTCTATAATCATGTTGCATTCATTTCCCTTATGCCCCTTACGCACAGGCACACCATTTCTCTCCACTAATACTAGCAGCGAATATTTTAGCCAATGGCCACGTAATTAGTCTTGGACTGACTTGTTTGGCGTACGCAACAGGAAATATTTCGCTTTTGGAAAACAAGAAAAATAGGTTTATTTGTGTTACGCTTATTAATTTGTGCAGTTATTCAGTGTCTGGTAAGTTAATGTTCACGAAAAAATATTAATTTTTATTAAAATGTTCTATTATTTTATGTTAACGATTATGCATTTATTTCAGCCCTTTATATTCAGCATGCCTCTATCGAAATAAACCTACATTTCTATGAAAATTGAAGCTTTTGTTCTTTTGTGGCCCACATAAACTTAAACCTTGTTTATTGGCCCGTGTTAGCCTTTGAGTTTGACATGCTTGCTCTACACTAAACTTTTTATCATATCAGGTGTCCAGAAAGTAATTCCATATATTTAGAATATTCTATTCTTCACTTTTTGTTGTTGTTCATATAAAATTATTTTCTTGAGTACCTGCTCCATGCCAGGCATTGCCCTAGGCTTTGGAGCAGTGAAGAACGAGATAAACATAGCCCTTAGCCTCAAGGAGCTTGCAATCTAGGAGGGTAGAAAAACAAATAATTACACAAATAACTATCTAAGAACCTGTTAAAAACTTATAGCATACCTAAAATACTGTGATTACAATTTGAAGATCTAAAATAAACTACCTTGATTTTCACTTACTTTCAGGACTTCTGGTATTACCAGTATGTGCCAGGCAGTGCTTCATCATCTCCTTTCCCTGTTCCATTACCAGCAGTAATCAATCCCTGTCAGGCATTAGCAAAGCAGATTTTCAAGTTCTGTTTTCCTACTTGACAGGTCATGGTTTTGAATCTTTGAAGTTTGACCATAAATTAACTGTGAAGTAAAACATGTTTCATCAACTTCTCTATTCTGGAATTGCTCATGGTGTTTGAAAGAATGCTGATTAATTAAGGTCAGTTATCATTGCAGAAACTACTGGAGTTTTGTTATCTAATCTCTATCGTAATTCATGGATAAAGATTTAGAACTTCCTTTTTTTTAATTTTTAATTTTTTTTTCATCACCAGTTATCCCCTCTATGCCCTCTTCCACCTCCACTCATCCCCCTCCCCTAGAAATTTCTTAAGTGAAGATTTTACATGCTGTTTTCTCAGAGGCAACATAAAAAAGCATATGCTAATCTAGAAAAATAAGTTTATTAATAAAGTATTAGCTAGGATGCTTTTAGCTGCCCGTAACAGAAATTCTGATTCAATGGAACTGTATCCTGTGTAACAGAAAGTCCCGAGAGGGAGAACTTCAGCATTGAGAGATTCAGTAGCTTAACACAACTTTCAAGAATCCTGGTTCTTTCTATATCAAGGCTCTGTCTTCTCAGAGTTTCCTCTGGTTTCATCCTCAGGCTAATAGCAAGAAGAGTGCTACATCTGAAAGTGACAATATTCAGAGGAAATGGTGGGCTGGGTAAGGTGGGGGGGGGCAAGGAGAGAAATCATCTCTCCCCATAACTCTTAGGGAAAAGGAAATATGTCTTACAAACCCTACAGCAGACTTCTTTCATGCCTATATCTGAACCAAACCAATGACAGGGAAAATGGGGTTACCCTGAGACCATTGAGCCCACCCTTAGGGCTGGAGAACAGATGAACTTTCTCTGGGGCATATGGCAGTGGGGGATGCAGATAGGTATCTGAGCAAAGGTAAGGTTGTGTAAGAAAAGGTCACCAGCTGTGTCCACTACCTGAACTGTTTTTTCAAGATAACAGCTGAGCACAGTATGATAATTCTGAAAAAGACAGTGTCATTAGTGGTCATTTGATGTAATGTGCATAATTGCAATGTAATAAATGTTGGCACACCTAGTTCACTAAAAAAAAAATACTGGAGAAAATTGATCATCTTCTAATAACACTTAATGATATAAAATGAAAGCATGTGAAAATAATATCTGTGTTAACCTTTACAAAATACTTAAAATTTCTGTCATGGTAAAGGAAGATTACTTACCAAAATGTGTCACAAGGGTCCAGTCAATTGAAGTGGAAATTGGGGATCTTGCACATACACCTAGGTCACCAAACTCATGGCCTCTCAATACCAGCTCATCATAACATTTAATCTTCATTCCCGTTTTGAACCTATGTTCATTTCAAAGGATATTTGTATTAGGATAGGCTGGATTATAATATAACTAGAGGCCCGCTGCACGAAATTCGTGCACTTGGAGAGTCCCTCAGCCAGACCTGTGCCCTCTTGCAGTCCAGGACCCCTCGCTCCTTACTGCCCACCTGCTCGCTGCTCCTTACCGCTCAGCTCACTGCTCCTTAGCGCTGCTGTGAAGGCAGAAGAGGCTCCCACCACCACCACCATTGCACTCGCCAGCCGTGAACCTGGCTCTGGCTAAGTAGTGCTCCCCCTGTGGGAGCGCACTGACCACTAGGAGACAGCTCCTGCATTGAGCATCATAGCAACCAGCTGTTCTGCCGTTCGGTCAATTTGCATATTAGCCTTTTATTATATAGGATAACAGACATCACCAAAATTTCAAGGGATCTACAGAATAAAAGTACTTATTTTAAGTCCACTGGAGATCTGCCAGCTGTCTCTGATCTGGCTTGGCACTTTAAGGCTGCTTCAGTCTCAAACCTATAGCAAAGTGTCCCCTGTCACATTTCATTGGCCAAGTTAAATCACATGGAGACATCTAATTTCAAGGGGCAGGGAACCCTTGTACCCAGAAGTAGAAGTAGATACTAACAAGGAGTGATAATGCCTGACACAATGTTCACAATAGATTCACAAATAGATTCCATGAACGATATTTTTTCTAAATCAATTTGCTATTGTCAATATATGAAATACACAGTCAAGGCTGCCCTTCCTTCTAAGATGATTCTTATAAAGAAGCCATGATGAATGTTACTTTGGTGGTAACTACTCATCCTATAGCCCCTTCATTCTAAGAAAGACTCATCTACTGAGGGGTAGG